TTTTAACACTATTATTAACGCCAGACTATCATTAAACTATTTGTTTATGACCTAATGTAAATGAATCATTAGGAACGGCGACCGCATCAATTGATCCACATATTGTTTGTTTTATTGGCATGTTCACCCGATTACATGGCATATAAAAACTGACCAATATTTATCTCTCGGTTATCTGAAGCTTGCTTAATTTGGATTCCAGTGTTCGTTAATAGCGGAAATAAGTTTTTTCAGATTTTCCGGTTTGTGGTTTTAAAGTCCGAAAAGACAAGCTGAGTATTGAAATCTTTAACTTTTCACGATTATCCGTAAGTGTATAAGTTAATTTGGTTAAAAGATACACTGTATTTATATGCATTTTAAGCATTAACTTATTAATACTCGGGTGTTAATAATTGGCTTTCTATATAAATAAGGTTGACTTAAAATCTTACGAATTAGATTTCTGTTATTATTGAGCAATATTTGACTGCTGATAAATATTTATGTGCAAATAAGCCAGACGTATTCATTTATTAATGTGGCTTCATACGGGTTGACATTAGTCAATAGTTGAGTGTAGTTACTTTTAATTTTGACAAATTTTGGCAGAACTACATTATTGGCTAAATAATTTAAAAAGAATTAATTTTTTCTCATTTTTTATTAAGACTTAACGGCAAACAAGCTTATAGTCAAGACCAAAATAACTTATGATTTGTCTGACTTGTCTGTAAATCATGTTTCTGTGCTCATTTCCCCTGAATATTGCATTAATTATAAGCTATCATTCAGTTGAATTCCATAAAGTATATGTTTATTGTGCATGTGTTCATTAATGTAAACCATTGAAGTATATGCAGCAATGCAAGGAAACTCAATTATCTTGTGTATGATATTTCACTTATCACTTACACAGGCCTCGACAGTCGGCATAATTCACTCACTTGTCTTACTCACTCCGAACAGCTAAAACCGCGGCGCAGATCTCCTCTCGAAAGTGTCACAAAAGAGTTGAGTTGGTGGGAATATCGAGAAACTGGTTTCTCTGTAGGGCAGAGCATCGCTTCTTCCGAGACTTCTCATACGTAACGAACTGAAAACAAATCGCAGATCTGCAGACACATATAATATTGTGATAAAATACTGTTACAAAAGCAAATCAAATGCGGCGAAATACAAACAAAATGAGAAAAAAGAAGCAAAAAAACTTTATAAAAAATTGTCCGACATATTTCATTTTTATGAATGAAAAAAAAAAACAGCTAACGGCGCAGGGCAAATAAACCAAGTTAACAACAAATGAAAATGATTCATCTAAATAATATGACGAGTTGTGGCTGACTGTCAATGAAGAATACGCAGAAGCTACGCATGGCAAATGGTAAAAAATATAAAAAATCGGAAATTATTTAGCACCGATTCGTGGAAATGTATGCTAATGCTTGTGCCGGTTTTTTTATTGTCTTTATTTGTGGCTCATTTTGTTTGGCCTATTGATTATGTAAATGAGTGGAATAAAAACAGTCTGATATGGCGTATGCGCAACGCGATTATATAAGGTAATCCATAGACCCTAATGGACCGTCGATTCCGACCGCGTCCATCAATCACTAAGCAAAGTTGGAAAAGGTAAAAATCATCAAATGATAAAGTAAACAATAAACCACAATTACTCATGCCATTAAGGTACTTATGTTTTGGGATCGTAGGGCTCGGAACTCATTTTGCTTCAGTGATATTGCTTATCTCTCCAATATCAACAGACGGAAACACTTGTTCCGCTTTCAGTTACTTTGGTTGTTATTGCTGTGGTTTCTGCGGTTGGTGTTTATATATTTTTTAACAGCATTCCACGTAATTAATACAATTAATAAACGATTTGTACGCATTCCGCTTTATGAGCGTTACCCGACGCCAAAACAAGCAAAAACTAAATGACTAGTAATTGATAATCGTTATCAGGCAACATTTAGCCAAGAGTTCGAGGTGATCATTAGCTTTTCCCCACTATCAATTCGGCCTCCAAGGAGTTCAAATGTTCAAAATGAAGAAGCCGCAACATGTGTAGTTCAAAACTTGTATCGATTAGATAAGAAATGCTCCTTTTTATATTATTTTTGCATAACTTATAGCGGCACGTTTTGTTTTGTTTTGTTGTTATTTGCAATGCAATGGTTGTTTGATTAGGGATCGTTTCACGAGGGGTTACTATAGTGTTTGTTTGGCTTGGGTTGGGTCTGGTGGCATTGCTTAGGTTGTTCACATCACCATATTTACTTACTTGTAGTTGAGCAAACAAATTGGGAGATATCAATGAACTAATGAACCTGGGAACTTGGCCAGACCCTGACCAACAATAACCTCAAGAAGGTTCAGATTCGACTTTTAATAGAAATTTAGTGGGAGATCTATTTCCCACCAGAGATGACAATGGGATAGTTATTTGATTTCATATTAATGTAGAGAGTCTACAAAATTAGTGGTTTCATTTCGTTTTTATATACCTAACATTTAGATAATTTGAATACACACACATATATGATTGTCATTATATTTTCAACATGATCGTTGGATTCGATGATTAAGAAAATATATAAAGATTTTTAAAGATAAATTAATAGTTTGCTTACCCATTCGATATTGGACATTCACAGAATATAAAATATTAAATTTAACTTATATTTATTTAAAACTTCTGTTTAAATGAACTTCTAAGCATTTATTTTAGTTATTTTTTTTGTTTTAAATTAATATATTAAAAAATCTACTCATCTTGGTCTTAGTTTTCTCCAACGTTTTATAGATGAATGTCTTGTCTGAGTAATTTGCTGCATTTAAGGTTCCCACCTCTCACTTTACTACTTTGGATTTCTCCATTTGTGACAGTTCATGCGGGTTCCATCATCGTATAAATTGCTGTTGTCTTTTTTTTTCATTTCAATTAACTGAGACTTGAGACTTCCCAATATTTTATTTTAATTTTTGAAAAGCCTATCGGTGCACTTCCCCTTCGAACAGAGATATCATTCTAAATGCAACACTTATCGGGCTAAGCTGTCGTTTCTCTCGTTAGTCTGTTTTTCTTTCTTCTCGGGGCAATTCACACCACATCTGAAAATGAAAATATAGCCAGACAGCCATCGCATTATAGTATAGTTCATTGTCAAGCGATTTTAGCCCCCGCTTCGCCATCTCCTCCTCCATTTATTGTTGGATCTCGGAGTTTTCACTTTTTAAGCGCCAGCTTTGGAGAGATGCCGAGGAGAGTGTTGCTTTAAAAGCATTAATTGATTGAGTTGAGTTTTTTTTTGTATGCCTTGCTTGGCTTGTCTTGTGTGTTGGCTTTTGGTGCTGGCTTTGGATTGTTTTTTTCGGTTTTGGTTTGCTACCTCTATCAAGTTGTGTAATGTGGACGCTTAGGAGGTTGCCAACCAGTTTTTCTTCTTCCCCGGCCAAAGTCACCGAGCTGCAGCTGGCGGCCCGCAGACTTGGCTTAACCATTTGTTTCGAAAAATCATTAGGCACGCCAAAATGAAATGAAAGTGTGAACAGGGGAGCTGCTCTGACTTTCTTTGCCGGCCCGGCCAGGCGATGATTTTGATGGGTAACAAGCGGCCAGCAGTAGTTCACCTGAGAATGAGTCAGTGCACTTCTGTAATGGTAATAAAAACAAATAGCATGACTAACAATGGGCCTGCCAGCTCAACTTGTTCAAGCCATTCATTTCGCTATGATAACAGATCTTCAAAAGTATTTATAAAATCTACAATCAACTTAGGTCGTCGCCTGCACTGCAAAAAAATTCGAACTCTGTTCTAAGCCTGAGAAAATTAATTTAATAGAAATTAAAAGCTTATAAAAGTTGAACCCGTTATCCCAATTTATATAAACAGTCTTTAATCGATTCCCCAAAAAAAAATATAGCTTTAAAGTTAAACGAAAATGTTTTAGGAAGAAACCTAATTTTTTCTTACAAAAGTATTTTTATTAATTTTAGTTTTTTAGTTAAAATATATAAAATATTTGTAAATTATAAAACACTAAAAAATAGACCACGTTAAATAAAAGAAAAAGAAATAATAAATTTGATGTAATTTTTACATATTTTTTAAATAACTACTGCTTGCTACTTACAATTACTAATAATAACAAGAAAGGAAAGCTAACTTCGGGCGGAGCCGAAGTTGATATACCCTTGCAGAACACTCTGTAAATTATATTCTCCAAAATTATTCATATGATGCATTCTTAATACTCATAAAAAATCCCAACTTTCTAACTTTAAAAACACAAATAAATATAGTCGGCCGATCCTTATGAAATTTGGTAGGTCGGATTGATTGGCCAAATATAAAACCCATAGGAAATCCCAGCTTCCTAACTTTACAAACACAAAAGTTATGGCATTTCCGATCAATCAGTTATATGGCAGCTATAGGATATAGTCGGCCGATCCTTATGAAATTTGGTAGGTCGGATTGATTGGCCAAATATAAAACTCAGCTTCCTAACTTTACAAATACCAAAGTAATGGCATTTCCGATTAATCAGTTATATGGCAGCTATAGGATATAGTCGGCCGATCCCGGCCGTTCCGACTTATATACTGCGTGCAAAGGAAAGAAGGGTGTGTGCAAAGTTTCAATTCGATAGCTTTAAAACTGAGAGACTAGTTTGCGTAGAAACAGACAGACGGACAGACGGACAGACGGACATGGCTATATCAACTCAGGAGGTGATCCTGATCAAGAATATATATACTTTATATGGTCGGAGATGTCTCCTTCACTGCGTTGCACACTTTTGACCAAAATTATAATACCCTCTGCACGGGTATAAAAAGTCAATCTTGGCTTATTATTGGGACCAAAACTGTATGTAAATAAGTATATTGAAAAAAATATTTAATACAAATAAGCACAAAATGGTAGTAAACTTTTTTAAAGTGTGCTAATCATATCTCTAAGATAAATGTACCGACATTCCTTTAAAGAACCTTTCTCTTTTCTCCTTTGCAGGCTCTTCGGTTCGCTGCCGAAATACACACAGCATCTATTAGTTTTACTGTTCGGCACATTCCGGGTTATCGCGAGCAATGCGGCCCACGCCTCCACCGGAATGACCAGCGAGGCGCTGGGCGTGTCCGTGGCCCCCAGTTTCTTTCAATCCTGCGTCAGCGATGGCAAAACCGCTCGCATGGAGGACGTGCTCAAGTTTAAGGTGAGTTCGGTGTTCATTAGAATATTTCGACATTTTCAAAATGTATTTGTTTGATTTACAGGTCTCTACAAAGATCATGCAGAATATAATCGATAAGTTTGCCACACACGACATTTTTGGGCGTGATAATTACGAATACTACGCCCGCGTCACTGGACGCATTCTCAAGGTGCAGGACGAGTGGATATGCAGCTTTCAATATCCACCACCGCCACGTGGCAAGTTGGCTCAACAGAAATACGCATGTGAGTTGTGCAAGAGGATTGGAGCATTGAACTTTAATTTGGCCATAGAGAAATTGCTTGCTATTGGATTTTTGATTTTGGTTCTTGATAGGTTATATATGCATATATCAAAAATTCATGATGAAAAAATTAAACAGGATGTACAATGTGTATAATGATTTCTTCAAACAGTATGTGCAAACAAACATTATTTTTTCTGGACGGATATAAATTTAGAAAATTATACAAAAATAATGTTGGTTAATTAATACTTTAATATTATTTTTAAACGTAGTAGCTTGTTTGGATTAGTAATGAAATACCATTTGATTAGTGTACTTTAAAACAATTTCAAAGTACATAAGACCAAATAATTGCAGGGAAAATAGGTCTCATACTTAATTGGATTGTACTCAAACTAACTCGTCCATGAATCACATTACTAGCTGACTCACTCTGTGTAACTTGTCCTTAATCGATTTATTGATTGGTAAAATAACTTTCCATACTGAGTCTTTAATATAGAATTCGAAACTTGCTAATAACTTCTTATCGCTTTCCCCTTGCAGTGCAACATTCTTTGGAGGCGGAGAAGACCTGGCTGCAGTGCCAATGCGAGCGTTGGGGCTTACGTGAGTACCTGAAAAGTGTTTACCTATCCGTAGTTATAGCTAGACTTATACTCTATTGTGCTTTGCTTCTGGAAATCTCCACCTCTATTTACTCCACACTGTCCGATCTAACTTCTGTCTGTGTGTGTGGGGGAATGCGATCAATAAACATTTATCTGATACTGATAAGCTCATCTTTGGTCATCTGGTGCCCCGAGAAGATAAGCTTTAGCCCCCACCCGCACCGCACCCCCATTCTATAGATTTGTGCTGCATGCCCAGTAGTTGTTTGTACCCTCTCATTCTGACAAGTCATCCAAAATGCCTTTGTTAACCCCCTGCCGACCTGATTTAGTGGCCCAGGAGGAGTCCCGCTCGACGCCCGCCCTGCTGACCAGTTCCAGCTCGGCGTTGGAGAACAGTGTGCTGTCGCTGGGCGTTTCGCCGGAGCACTCGTTCATCGAGAGCTGTGCCCGCCTGTCCGTTTCGCTGGAGGGACCCGGCATCTTCGCCATGACCTCGTCCCCGTTGCCGGCGAAGAGAAACGGGAATGGCAATGGCAATGGCAATGCCACGGACTACGACTACGATGACTACGCCGACGACGATGAGGACAACGACGAGCTGGACGGAGTTCAAGACTTTGGTGCCGAGTTGGAGATCAGCAGCATAGCCCCGCCGCAGGGGAGTCGGGGCATATACCGCCACAAGCAGCGGTCCCAGCAGCCACATCACTACCAGCAACAGCGGCAGGTGCAGCCACCGCAGCCGGATTATGCGGACGACGATGACGAGGATGAGGACGAGATGACCTTTGTGAAGCGGCGCTATCGACAGAACAAGAAGAAGCCGGTGCCGCCGAGCAGCAGTCATCACCAGAGGCGGTTGCGTACAGGCACCAAGAGCCTGGACGGTGGAGGAGAGAGGCGTTCTGGTTCGGTATCGGGAGCAGCAGGATCAGTATTAGCTCCCTCAGGACCAACAGCTGGCGATCCGACGCCGCCTAAGCTCAAGCAGCGAACCTGCAGCCGCTGCAATCGAGGTATACGACACAGCAGCTCCTGCAGCTCCAACTCGGCTGGAGCAACGGGCTCCAACTGCGCCGGCGGAGGCAGTGGAGGATCGGGAGGCGGAAATGGAGGAGGAGCCGAGGGCGGCATGACCATGGAGGAGCTGAGGGCCGTCAACCGATATGCGGAGAGCACCAAGAGCCTCTCGTATCTGCCACAGGTGAGGGACGAGTTCTTGCGGGGCTCACGCATTTCCGTTTGAGACTATGCGACCGTTGTGTAGAACGTACCATCTATATATAGAACCTAGGTCTAACCCATTTGCAAATGCTCGAATTTCTTTTAAGTTTTGGTTTCTTTTTTCCAGGAAATGAAAAGAATCAAGAACCAAGAATATATTAGTTTCTAAGTTACCTTTTTATTTCTTCATTTTTCTGTTGCGAATTTTCATTTACTGTAATTGAACTTTTTGTAATACCTTAATTTAATTTCTTTTGTTTCTTGTGTTTGAATTTTGTCAATTGGAAATGTTCTCTCCTCTAATCTCTTTCACTCACTACTACTTTGACTCTCTCTTAACTCGAATCACTTAGCAAATTGCTCAAAATTGTTTCATTTTTGGAAATGTTTGCCTAGTTTTTTTTAATATTTTCATAATCTAACCAACAAATTTGCGCCTGCCAACGAAAAACAACTACTACTTACACAAAAACAACAACAATCAACAACACATTTTGATATTATTGTAAGACATAAGAAATTGAAGAATATACGCCTTCACACCCTTTACACCCCCAAAACTGTACAAAAAGTACAACAAAATCAACATACTTCACCAAAAATCTGTACAAAAAGGACTTATAACGGAGCAAAAATTTAATTCATAATTTCTAATTTAAATTTTATGTTTATATTTTACTTTCATTTTCCATTTTAATTTTTGTTCAAACTTCTCTTACAAAGAAAAACCAAACAAAAAAACATTAAAAACGAAAACAACAAAATGTTAAACCATTTCAACAAAAACCTTAAAACATTTTATAAATACACTTTCTATGCCCCAAAGACCTATTTTCACTAAATAAAAAACGAGTGCTATATAATATTGCAACAAAACAAAACTAAACACAAAATTGCGTATTTAATAATATAAAAGAAACTTGGGAATAACAAGTCTGAAAGTAATAAGAGAAGTTTTTTATCAATTGGATATAAGTTCGGATTAGAAGATATTGGAATTGTTAATATTGTTTAAGATTATGGTTGTTTTTAGGGGATCGGAAAGATATTGAATATGGGTTTAATTATTTCAAAGGGCATTTACCACTTAACTAAAGGATTTTAGAATCTAAACTGGCAGTTTCATTTTCTGATTGATAAAAAATAATTCACATAATCTGGCTCTATAGAAAAGAATCCTATTAGGACCTTCATTTTATAGAAAAGTTTCTGGTTGTCATATTAATAATAACGGGAAGTTTTTGGGTCCGTGGATTATGTTCCCAATCAATCTTTTCTGGATCAGAAAAAACTTGGATCGAGTATCACAGAAGTATACAAATTTTTTCAAAACCTCTTGACACCGTATATCAATGTAGTTACCTATAGATGTAGCACATCATGTACACCTTAGTTATTATTTACTTAAAGTTCTCAATCTTATCGTTGCTGTAAAAAACAAGTGGCATATCACCCATAAACTAGAACGATTTGTATCATAAGCTAACGATATGATTTCTTTTTGTTGTAATCGTACTTTGTAATATATTTTTAGACACTTAAGCTACCCGAAAATATTGTTATCTTGAGCACCACTTTAATTTGTTGTTGCATGTTTGTCTTGTCTATGTAGCTTAGAAGCCTGCTTTTGTCTTGCCTCTGTTTTGTCTTTAAGTTGTTTGCTGCACTCTGCAAAATAATATGTAGTAATATTTAACCAAATAACATTTAGTTGATAAGCAAAACGAGGAAAACAAAAATACGAAAACATATTTATGCAAATACTACAAAACACGAGCCGAAACCCCAAAATTGCATTTGTAATTAATCTTATTTTTGACGGAATTTATTCTTGAATGTTATTTTCACCTCAAGATAAGCAATCACAACGCTTGTTGGCTGAATGTTTCTACCTAATTATAATGTGTTTGCTTCGAATATTGGGGGTATTCACAGTAAAGTTAAGCTGGATTAAGGATCATCTTTAATTCTTAATTTCTAGTTTTATGGTGAATACTCTTAAATATTTTCTATATCATTTTGTATAATCTTGCACTTTTTCCACTGCGCTGATTTTGCTGCATTTTATATATCACTAAACATAAAATTGTTAACCCGTTTTTATTTTGTCAACTTTTGTTTGTTTTATTTAAATTTTTTGATTTTGCCTTTTAAATTTCTAAAATTAAGTCAATCAAGCAAAAATTACAGCTAGCTAAATGAAAATTTAAATTACCAAAAACTCTAATGCGATAATTTTGAATCCCCCCTCGTCTTTCCACCAACAACAACAACAACTACACGACAACATCAACCAACCAAAAATCAAATAATTGCAATGAAAATCATGTACGAACTGGATAAAAAATATGTTAGGTCCATGAACGCCAAACCGCACGAATGCGCACTCGCTCCGAATGGTTCCTGGGTCCCCGGGATGCGGTGGTCACGTTGCAATTGCCGGCGGACACGTGCAGCAATTGCTGCCTGGCCGCTGCCGCAGGATATTTGGGCGGCGGCAGCACCAGGGACATGCGGCAGGCTCAAACGGAAGGCGAACGGAATCAGGCGGCGTTGCTCTACCACTTTTATCGCAGGCAGCAGCAGCAGCAACAACAGCAGGAACAGGAGCAACACTTTGACGACATGATGGACACCGAGGACAGCTACGGACAGCAGAAGGAGCAACAGCAGCAGCAACAGCAACAGATACATTCCAAGGGTCTCTTAAGGCCACCGCCCATGCAACATCAGCAGCAACAGCAGCAACGTCGCCTGCTGCTGGACGTCAATTCGGGTAGTTATAATGCCGGACTAACTACGCTCACCACCAACAACACTAATTTCGGCGACGATCTGGCCTTCTATCTACACGAACCGCTCGACAACACATGCTACTACTCCAGTCATTGCTTGAACCGGCTGCAGCCTGTTGTTGTTGTCCAAGAGGAGCCACGACTGGTGGAGGTTACCGACAGCGATGGGGATTCCCTGGATGGCGGTGGCCAACACACTTTGCAGGCCCATGAGTTGCAACAGCATGTGGAGCCTAGGCAAGCGGCCATGTTGCTGCTGCGACACTCTACGCCGCAGCAGCAACGTCGTAGCAGCATGGCCACATCCTTGTATCAGTCCTTTGAGGTGACCTCCACCGATCTGCCCCAAGGCGACAACAACAACAGGGTCAGCCAAAACGACAGCACAGGCAGCAACAATAACCACAACAACTTTGCCACAGTCATTTTCAATGTTTTGGACTTTTTGTTTTGATAAGAAAAGGAAAAGAAAAAAAGAAAAAAGCGAGCTGAAAATCGAAATGAAATGTCTTGTGTTTTGTAGCTACCAATTGCATCCAATCATGAATTTTGCTTATGTCGAACTAATGCTAAACATAATATATTTAAGATCTTAATTTATTTTTGTTTTGTTAAAAGAAACTCAAAGTGTTTATCATGTCTACGTATTAAGATGAAATCAAAAGGAAATATCCAACTTAATGATAATACTCCCTACCAAGCATGATAAGCAAAGATTTCTTTGTTGCCACCACAAGCCCATTGGAATTTTGTTCAATTTATCTTTTAATTTGTATTATTTTTGGTTTAGCTATCGAATATATTAATTATTTATTTGTATTGTGTACTTTGCTCTCATTTATCCATTTATTATTTTGCTTTGTAACAATAAACTTTATTATTTATTTATACTGTGTATAACCGAAACCAAAAGATGTTGAAAGCTTTTTTGTGTGTTACACTCTCCATACGCCAGACATGTGATACATGCATAATTACCTGTGTTGTACTTGTTGTTGTTTGATTTTGCGTACTAACCCCGAGTTTTGTGTGTTTTGTCCACATTTTGTACATTTATTTGTTAACGTTATTGTGAGTTGTTGTCGTCGGAACGCCCGCAAAGTCGGCCAGCAGCTGCAACAACCACAGCAAACAACAGTAGTAAGCCATATATAACATCAAGAAAGCGCCTCCAATCACAAACCAACCATAATTTGCTTCTCCAAGACCTCCAAATGAAACAAAGTAACTCATCAGCAATATCATTTCTCCTCTTTTTCTTTGTCCCGACTTTATTCCCGATCCCGACTTTAGTTGGCAACATCCGTTTGAGTAACAGCGCCGAGTCCATTCAGTATGCAGCCCGACGACCGGTCGCCAGTCTTGGCCTCAACTCCGGCCTTGGAGGCGTCACCACCACCACCCACAATCCCACCACCCGGCGGCTGCTCATCAATGTGCCCCGCCAGTATCGATCCTCGCTGCGGCGGAACAAGGAGAAGCAGATCGGCGGCAATAGTCAGAGCAACAGTAGCAATAGCCTGGGCAGTGATCAGTTGACCGGGAATCCTGGAGCAGCTGGAGGATCGGCCGTCGGTGTTTCCGTGCTGAACAAACCCCTGCTTATGGTGGGTCTACTACCAGGTGCCGAGCAGCCTCCGTCGGTGCGGAATTCCATTGCCGAGTGTGGCATCTCAACGCCCGATGCAATGGATGTGGGTGTGGAGTGCAGCACCACGCTGAGCTTCAAGCCGCCGCGGCTGTAACAAGGACCACAACCACTTGAATAGAAAGCTGAGGATGCACAGGACTTCTCGGAAAATAACTATCTTAAGATCTAACCATTTTTAACAGAAAACCATTTTTAAATACGTACACTTTCAACACAAACAAACACACAGAAAAACGTGGGTATCAAAACGATCTCTGGAGAATTAAGGTAATTATCAGTTAAAATAAGAATAAAACTGGTTGGAGCTGCAGTAACTTTGCAGAATATTTAAGACGATTAGATATTAATGCAGCGCTGCACCGATTACAACCAGCTTTATCTTACAATAACCACTATTATTGTTAGATCTCTAGAGATTGCCGTGACAACCCAAAAAACATCATATATTAGGTTATGGTAAATATATGTATTTAATGTGTATAGCAAGAAAAGGCTGATTTTCTTTAGTTAAACAAACAAAACATGAAAAAACTTGAAAAACGAACGAATGAAAGGAAAAAATTTACAACTGAAACTAACTACATGTATAACGCAACAAATTGCCAAATTTTAGTCAGCATTCTTTTCATTGTGTGAATTAAGTTGATTTTAATTTTTGTTTTAGCCAAGAATCTCTCAAACTTGAACATTGTCAAGATAAAAATAAACGAAATTTTCACCTGATCGCAAACCGAAACAACGATACAAAAAGCAAGAATTTCTTAGCTCTGTAACATCTGAACAATCCAACAAATCGATTTCAAGGCCGACTCTCTGTCTTTATAAGAACCATTATTAATGTTACTTCTAAGCTATCCAAATTTAAACTATTGAAAGGAGTCCCTTAAATGCAATCATAGACGCAAACTAACAATTACAGATTTACATTCATTTTTGATACAGACAAGTACAAAAGCAAAACTTAACAGAAACCAATCGAAAATATCTAATATAAATTCTACATTATTCTTACAAAGATTAAAAAGAAATCGTAGCATTTAATATATAGTTAAGCGTTTTCAAATTATACTTGTATTTGCGAAAGGAAATCAATTTCTAATGCGGATGTTAATTCAACGATGTTATTGTTAATAGTGCTATGTGTACATATATTCGTGTATGCCTATGTGTCCAAAATATATCTTATATGTATATTTACTACACGATATGCAAAAGCAGCCCTTCCCGCGGGGAATCAGAACTAACAAAAGAACGCGAAAACAAACGAGGTAATTCCAATTTATTTAGCAAATCCTGTACGACTAGTTTTAGATAGTTCCAATCCAAGCATAAGGTCTGCGGGAGGTCCCATTGGACCAACAGCAGATCTTTTTCCACTGCCCCGTCACTAACAAAAGTTCTGGTTCCCCATCACCCCAGACTTGGAGATTTTTCAGTCTAAATTGAAAAATTCTTTGCGAAGTTAGAGAAAGAAACAATTTCCTCGCTGTGTTTTGCCACATTTGGTGTGTTTGTTAAATTGAATTTACATATTTAATCTAAATGTTAGCTAAGGAAATAAAAGAAGTGTAAAACAATACCACTTATTTGGCCATTTCATACGTAGTATGAAGCGCATCCATTAAATATAAAATGTTAGTACATAAATCTCTGAATGTTGCCCAGAACGTAGGAATGAAAAATCCAAGAAACACCAATTTGTTGATATAAAAACAAAATACTTTATTGTATCGACATCATTTTTATTGCTGTATATGGTAGGCTATAAGCTATAAAATATATAATTGTATAAATCTTACAGAGTACGAGTTCGAGTGAAGTACATTCATTAGCCACTAAATACTATTATATAAATATAAATCGTATTGTAAATGATGACGGAAAGGTAATATATGTACGCTATTTTTAGTGAGCAGGATCTGTTCCATACAATTTCAAGTGCGTAATGCATTTCGAATACATTTTTCAAATATTTTAAATAGAATTTTATTATTTTTTTGATTTACCCCATTTTTGAGACATTTTCCATTTTGTGAAAGTTGCACTTTAAGAAATTCTGTATACAACAAATAAAAAACAAAAGAAGAGAAAAGAATCATACATATAATGTAACAAATTACTGAATGGAAAAAAATAAATAATTCAAATGAAAAATTAAAAAGTGGGGCCTTAATTACTCTTAAATGCTAGTCCTACGAACACATATTTGGTCAGCAGTTGGGGTATAGTTTAGGCCCCTGATTTAACTGACAAGTAAAGCGGAGATTCCTAATATTATTAAACTTTTAATTTTATTAAACTTATTTTTGTTCATTAGCTTCAGGTCAATTATTTTATTTTGTATTCGTTCCAAAATCAAATAAAAATTGACTTTAAAGCTGGCATACCTTAAAATTTTGTATAATTCTTGAAATAAAACTGTAAAATGTGTTCATACAGCGTAAAAGGAGCAGTTAGAAAATTCAATATTACCGAAAACAATATTTGTTTAGAAGTCTAAATATATTTTCTGATAATAATAGTACTTTTATGATTTGATGATGGTCCAAAGCAAGTTTTAGAATTTAAAACTAACGTTTTAAAGCTTCAGGTATGGGATATGCCCCTTAAGTTTCTTGTCAGTTCATAAATCTAGGGCCTTAGCTACCAACTTAATTGTACAGAGCTCTGTCCACTAAAATGCCGTGCTCGATGAGAAAACTCTCGACATCGGAGGCGAAGAAATCGTCGCTGAGATCATCGGTTAACCGCACAAAGTTCCCGATGACCGCTTGGGCCTTATAAACCAGTAGGGCGGGTAGCCCCTTAGTGCGGAAATCCCGGCTCATTCCGGCCACGGAACTGCAGATCTTGGCGAACTTGATGGACGGATAATCGCTGGCCAGGCTCTCCAGGCACTTGTTTAATGTGGTGCAGGCGGCCAGCTGTCGATCGTAGATGTGGATGATGATGGTGGTGTGCTTGTTCTCCTGCTCCACGCAGGCGAGGAACTCCCCGTGGGTGGTTAGCTGCTGGACCTTGCCGAACTGCTGGTGGTGTCCCGTCTGGCGAAGCATCTCGGCCATCCGCTGTTTCTGGTACTGCAGCAGGAAGTCCTCGCTCATCAGTTCGCCCAGCTCGGCGTCCAGTTCCTCCTGCCGTTTGCGCTCCTCATCCTCCGCTGCAGTGGCCGTGGTGATGGTGAGTTTCTTGGCCAGCGCCAGTCGTTGGCGCTCCGTTTCGTCGCGGCGCTCCGCCTCCAGCTGCTTGAATCTCTGCCAGTCCTTGACCACGCCCTTGGGGCCCGTGTTGGTGGAGCTCTGCTGCCGGTATCCCCCAGCCGGAGTCGCATCCGGATTTGTGTCGATCGTCAGGCCGGAGGAGCGGGATTTCCCCGAGGCCCCCTTGGAATCGTCCCCTTCGTCGCCATTGTCCTCGCCCTCGCTGCTGCTGCAGTAGTACTCCAGTTTCTCACCCAGTAACTTATCCTCCAAGGTGGCCATGGTTGGTTAATCCCGAGTTTTTACTTTTAATTTACAATTTAATTAGTGTTTTAGTGCTGGATCAGTCACCAATGATAGTATCGATAAATTTATCGGTATTCTGGTGTCGATAGTAGACGAATGATGGTGTGGCAGTATTTCCTAGAAATCCATCACTGAGCTTTTTTGGGATTTTTTAAATGTTAGTATACAAATAAAATATTTTGTTGGTTTATCTAAAACCCGCCAAATCTATACTTGTTTTCAAAAATTAGTTTATCCCATTTTTTTCAATAAGACAGAAAAACATTCTTGGTTAAAAAATTTACGAATTGAGGTTAGTAGTTTTACAACCTATATAATAAAAATTTGATATTTACTAATATTACCTATAAGAACCAAACATTTAAATTAAAAAATTTTCACATAACATTAAAAAAGATTTTGTATTATTAAAACATTATTTTCAAAATGAAACATAAAATAATAATATGATGTCTAGGTTTATTAAAATTAAATTGAATCTTACTTTAAGTATAAAGCTTAAATATGATATTAAGTTCTTTCAAAATGTATAACAAAATATGTTAGATGATAAAATCACGTTCTAAATTCGGCGTAGAGCAGTTTTCAGTAGGAGGAGACTAAAAAACTAAAAGCAAATACATACTAAAGCCTTAAGTCCCCATCATTAAATGGTGTTCTATAAGCTGAATGTGAGAAACTAATAAAATACTTATGTATGTTTTCGTAAGAGTTTTCGTGTTTTAACAAAGAATTGCAACTGCAATGTAGATGTATTTAAATTTATTTTATTTTAATTATAAATCGGCAGGATACAAAGAATACTACTATTTCAGTTGAATAGATAACCTTAATAAATTAACATTTTTAAAATTCAAATTAATTTGTGTTATTGCATGCCATTAAAGACTTTGGTGATTTTCAATCTGTTTGATTTAATACCTATTTTTATGAGTTTTTCGAATTATATTGAAAATATCCTTAAGCTTATCCGGCACCGCAAAGTCGGGCATTATTTGTTCCATGCTATTGAAGTCAGCCTTTTCCAACTCGTCGCACGAATCCTCGGATCCAGACTCATCAGCGAGCGCCAATCTTTCGGCGAAGGAGACGATTCCGCACCAGACTCGAAAGTCCAAGTCACCCGATCCTTGGGACTCGTACCCCAACATTCTGAGAGTGCCTTGAACATTTTTCTCCGTGCCGTGGAACTCCAGGACATCTTCTAGAGCTTGCGGAAGACTCTGCCAGACGAGGGTTCGTTCCCGGTATTTATATTCCGGCAGATCATCGTTTCCATTTCCCATAGTCGCCAACTCACTTTCCGGCTCCTCGATTCGACTTAGATATTTCAAGAATACTCGCTTATATAGCTGTTTTCTCTGTTGCGAAACCCAGACGCACTTGCTAAAGTAGTCCCAGGGGGTCATATCTATTGGTACAGTTCGTTTGAGGTAATTGCATAAATAATGTCTCTTATTTACTAACTTTTAAGCATAGAAAGATCCATGGGTACATCAAATCTCGTTGCTGATTTAGAGAATTTCCTGGGCATCTTGGAGGTTGTTTCTGGGGGAACCTTCTCTTCGTTGACTTTCGGTACAGTTTTGGGCTTAGGAGGCATGTATTTAATAGCTTCTCTAAGAGCTCGGTTAAGCTTAAGTAAATAATTAATGAAAACAAAAAAATAATAGGAAATACATTATTATTATATAATATTTACAACTGAATGGTTTGGTATACACTTACATATCTCCCGAAGGTGTTTTCTATTAGATCCACATCGAGATCGGTTTTGAGTGCCTGAAAGGCTTCGTCGGTGAGAAAACTTCCCTTCAGGAGGATCGGTTCCCGTTCGGTTTCCCGCTTATCCTTGGGCAGTAGGGTGAGTGAGTTGGGTATCAAACTGGGTCTGGTACTGGGATTGAGTGAATCGGGTCCCAGAGCAGCCACCTGAGTCTCCGGATCCTCACTCAGATGGAAGGTGGTGGTGGCTTTAATTTAAACAAGGTTATAAAACTAGAGTCATTGAAACTTGTTCATAAATAATATTAAATAATATTATTATGCTATAATTTAAATTTTTTTAAATTAATTGGTTTGTTCACTAAAAAACGTTAAAAAAAATGGTGGGATTTATTTTAAAATTTATTTATTTCCTCCACAAGTATATTTTAAAGAATTTTATTTTAAGCCTGTTGCGATTTGGGTTAATTTTGTTTAATAGATTTAATTTAATTTACAAACTTGGTTACCCACCTTGAGCTGGCTTCAATTTCTTGCGCTTTTTGCCCCTGCGAACATCTTCGTCGCTGAGTTCGTGCTCATTGATGCAGGTCTTGGGCTTGGCCTCCAGTTCATTGGTGGCATCTCCTCCTGGAGTCAGGTTTGCAGTGGCCAGCGAGGACTTCGGTCTCTGTTCATTGGACGGCTGCCTCTTCGGCTTCTTGTCCTCGTTGGCCCCCGCACTCTTGGGCTTCTTGTCGTCCTCCAAACCGCTTTGGGTCAGCTCCGAACTGGGCTTCCAGTAGAGCGTCTCCTGGGAGTGGGTTCGCCTGAGATCCAATATGATTTTCTTCCGCTTAATGTTCTCATGTTTTCCCCATTCGGGCGTTATGCATCGGCGGTAAAAGGAGCCAGCACTGGTTCTGGTATGGATACTGGTTACCGTGGGAGTTGGCGTCATGGGACGCGAATCCGTTTCCGCATATCGGCGGAAGAGATCCTCCGGAATATTGTCCGCCTCATGTGGCTGCAGTTCCGGCTCCTCGGGAATCTTCTCCTGCTTCTGCTGACTTTTGCCCTCAATCGCCAGCGATGTCTTCAGCTGATTGATCACATCCTTAACCCCAGATGGAGCCGGATGATTGCACAGCACCGAGCATCCCTTGGCAAAGGGATTAAAGAGTCCGCCAAAGGGGCGTAACGAAAGCGGCATGGGCGTGGCCTCGAACTTGAGCGGCAATCGCGAAGCATCGCCATGCTGATTTTTGCGCTGTAATTAAAGGCCTCTGTTAATTATTTCTTGCACAAACCAAAAATTAATTAAATACCATTATTTATATGTTTTTTCTTTATCAATGTTTTATAAAACTCTTACAATGGTAAATTTTATTTAGATATTAAAAAAGTATTTTAAGCTTAAAGAGAATTTCAAGAAAAACCATTAAAAGATGACTCAAAACATGTAAACAACTTTTTTTAAATTTTAAAATAGTTTTAAATTGATTTGGCGTCTCTGAGACCTCTTTAAAATAAATAAATACATAAGCAAACCATGATGGGGGCAAAGTTTTAAATTAAGCAAGAAAGTAAGCTAACTTCGGAAAGCCGAAGTTTAAATCCCCTTGCAACAGTCTTTAAATTTTTCGATCGTTCTTGTTTCAGCTATATGAAAGCAAGCCCGTAATTCTGAAATTGTTAAAAATGACTATATCTCGAAGTATATGAATATATATGTATACATACATATGTTGGAAAACATGAAGCTAACATTTTAACTATTTTTCTCGATTGTTCCTATAGAAGCTATTTGATATAGTAGACCGATCCGGCCCGTTCCAAATTAAATAATACCTGTAACAGAAAGAAGACCTTTTGCTAAGTTTCATCCAAATAGCTTTAAAACTGAGGGACTAGTTTGTGTTGAAACGGACAGATGGAACATATATATGGCATGGATGGAACATATGTATATACTTTATGGGGTCGGTAATGTGCGTTAAAAACTTTTGACTGAAATTAAAATACCCAAAGGTATAAAAATTCACGATTTCGAAACAAAGTCGAATAGCCTTGAAAAGCTTATTAAACACATAATTAAAGACTGTTTTAATGTTATTGTATAGTCTGGCTATATTTTTCCACTTCCTTGCTTATTTACATTACCTTTTTGAGATACTTGACGTGCCTCTTGGGCGTGGGAACCAATCCAGTACGTGTTGTGGCGCTCATTGCTGACAGTAAAATAAACTCTGAATATCAAATATGATGACAAACGCCGGGGTATCCATAAACAATTCGTTATGTTTCCATGGCTTTCAGCGGAGACGCCAATAAGTTTATTAGTCTTTATCGATTTTGAACGGTTTCTTCCTCAGTAAATAAACATGTTATTGAAAAATAGCCCGACAAAGCAATTGCCAGTGCAAAATATATTTTTAAAATTATTCCGAACCCCATAGTAAACTCTGAGTGAATTTAATCACTTATTTTTAATCGAAAATATTGATTTCTTGAAAAAAGGGCAAAAGCTGACTACAACATTGGTTCTTATCGTTTCATTGACAGCTAAAAAATATATTGTTTTAAATTGTAAATGACTCTCCTGACGAACAGTACTAAATAACATTGGGATTGATATTTTAATACGCTGATTCCAATAATAGGATTGTTATTCTTTCTGCCTTATTTGATAGTTATTGTTGATTTAAATACCTATGATTGACAGAAAGAAATAATATACATTTTTCAAACAAAATAGTAAATGGCATTACTTTTAAAACTAACGATTTAAGTCACCCCCAAAAAATGAATATGCAAAAGACCTTCATAAAATAACGTATGTTTATTGTGTCTGTGTCTTAAAACTAACAACTCTTGGGATATGGATAACGTAAGGAATACACTTTAGGAAGGAATAGTCAGGCAGTTGGGATGCTCAATCTGGGTTCCCTAGTAGAGGGAACCGCGATGATGCAAGTGCCTGAGGCGTTGATCCAGCAACTGGCGTTCGTTGGAGAGTGAAATGGTCGAGGTGGAGCGGTGCAGGATGGGCAGGACGGCGGCTCCGTGACCTCCGTGACCCCCTGACCCGTGGACGGCCACGGGTCCCACCGCCTCCGACGGCCCCACTCCGGCGGTATTTCCCACCGCCCGGGACCGCAGCAAGTGATTCCTGAGCGGCGACTGCCGGCGCACCGAGTTGTTGAATGAGATCTGCAGGGAGAGGCGCTTCTGGGACAAGGAGGCCAGGTGCTCCGGCGAGAGTTCGATCACCTGGGGAGGAGCAGCCGCCGCCGCGGCCAAGGCAGCGGCCGTGGCGGCACTGTAGCTGGGCAGCGATGCGGTGGGCGAGGAGTTGCCGCAGTTGCAGGTGGTGGAGGCTATCGAAATGTTGTCCGCTCCCCCATCCCCACTCGGGATGTTCGTCTCCACCAGGCTGTAGCCGACCGCTTGCTCCTTGCCGTTCTCGTTGCACTCGAATATCTTGATGATGGGCACCACGGCGGGGGTCAGGATTATGCCCGCCTTCCGGAACTCCTCCAAAGCATCGTCGTAGGTGGGCAGTCCGGACACAATCGTGTACGAGGGCAGCGACTCCGCCTCGTAGTCCGGCGGACAGCGGCGGCAGATCTCAATCGTCGGATCACTGTGATTGGCACGGTCTGCAAGGACAGGGAATGGAAAAGTGGATAATACGATTAGTACACGGTGAAAAAATGTGCCGCCTGAATTTGTGGTAGTTGTTCAATACTATTTTATTAAAAGTAGGTGGGTCCCAGGAATCTGTCTTACCCAACAATTATATGTAGGCACTTAAGAAAAGTACTGTTAATATCCCCAAATAATATTTAAATGTTTATAATTTATTCTCAAAATCTTTTTAGCCCGTATTACATCTGCATTTTAAACTGAAAGAATATTTCGTTGCCAAATGGTTAAATAATAAATTAATAAATATTGATAATTTGTTTAAATATTTCCTCAGATTTTTTGGCTTTACGAAATTTTTCTTTGCTTCTATTAATCACTGGTAAAAACTTTTTTTAACCAAGACCCTAGTCAAAATAAAGGGTAAATTTAAATAGTTACTTTGTGACCTTTTAGATTTTTTTATGGTAATAACTATCATAGATAATAAAGTTCTTTACTGCATCCATCAAATATTCACCATATTAATAATTATTTAATTTTCGAAGTCTTTTCTTAATATTTATAAATTGAAAACTTGTATAGCCACAATCTCTGAGTTTGTATTGAATTTTAAACCTATGCTTAGAAAATAATAAAAATCGGATAGAAAACTATGGATTGTTTAGTGACTGGCTTTCAGGATTTATTGTATTCCCTTCACATTTAGTTCTATAGAGCATTATTTATTAAAAAGCTTTTCTGAATAGTTGTTTGTAGATTTGTTCTTCTATCATCTGCACTCCTTCCATTGTTTTATTTCCCCAGATTCCTGCTCGCTACTTCCGACAGTCAAACGAAAAAAAGAACAATCAGAATTATCAAATCAATTCCCCTTTGCTGCCTTTTGGGACTTGCCACGGCAGCAATGGCACTTAAATCGCTCCCATGCCCCTCAAATGTTACCTTTAGTTTTTGGGGATGGTGCTGCGGATCGAAATGAAATTTTTATACCGACTGCTTGTTCGCTTAAAAGCTGGTAAAAAGCCCTAAAGGCGGCCAACTGCAAGCTGCGTCCCAACCCTTAAAAGTAGGCAACAAAAACATTTATTGCAATTGTCCAGCGGGCGGAGGCAAATAAATGTGGCTCCCGGGATGGGAAACAGAGTACCCCACGGCGGATCTTCCCCAGAAAAGGTGAGTCAGCAGCCCAATGATGGAGTACATGGAACTGGTGATGCGGCAAGCGTTTTCCCCGTGACGTGGTACAAGATTTTCCAGATTAGCCGCATGCTGGGTGGCTTGGCAAATATTGAAAATGGCACACGCTCCGGTTCACACCCTTTTATTTGGATACACTCTATGCGGCGGGGCTTTAAAGCCTGCGGGTCGACGATTTTCAGACATTTTCACACCCACATGGAATGGCCGCTCATTTTTTATGCAACGCTTTGTGAGCTTACGAAATTAAATTGATGATGCCCAGGAAGAAAGCGGGCGGAATGAAAGTGAAAACTCATTTTCGGGTGGGGTTTTTCCGGCTTGGAGCCGGGCCATATGGCATATGGAACCCCCCGGGGAAGCTGTCAGACCCTTAACTCCTTTCCTCTGACAACAGCTCAACGTGCTTAAGCCTTTTTGTAATTTTCAATTGACTTTAGTTAATTATGGGCCGGCTTACATCGGAGCTTAACGTATGGCTCCATGGGGCCGTAACTGTTTTAAGTCGGTTGAATACACTTTTGATTTTGCGACAGGTCGGCAGCACTTGTAAAATCATTATTTGAGATGTAATATTGCGGTGGAAAAGTCTCAAAGGGATTATTTCTGACTTAATTAAATCTAAGAAAACATAAACACAAGCACATTTGCTTTATGGTAAAATGAACTCATGAAGAGTTGTCAGTACTTAGGTACTAATAAGATAAATAAAATAAATGAACTGTTAGAATTAATCTTATTTTCAAGAAATAAAATTTGCTTTTGCTTTCAAAGCCATTATTGGGCATTGAATGCATTCTATAAAACTAAAGGAAGTAAATGAATTTTTGGTCTAAAAAACGTAAGTGATTTTTAAAAACTCAGAGCCTTGGGCTTACTTTCGTTTCATTCGAAGTATATATATTTCATATTTGAAGAGAAACCGAATTAAAACATGTGACTGATAGTTTTGCTTTAAGGAGGACTATCCTTGGCTTAAGTGACCACCCCTCACTCAGCCATAAACTGGCCATCCCCAACCGAAAAGGACGTTTTTTGACATGCCCACAACTACTTGGCTTGATGAACTGTCTGGGCCCATAATCCAAAGCCCCGGGACATACGCATTCAATTCCCCAAACGCAGCTTAGCACGACAATAAAATGAAGTGCAGCGCATAAAAAAGAGAAAGCCGCTTGGCAGATGAAACGAAAGTAAACAAAGCCCAGAGTGTAAGTGCGTTGTGCATAAAATATTCGCCGCAGGTTATAAGCCAGCATCAGAATGGACACCGCAATTTTCCACTAGTCAATATGCTAAAGGTCATGAAAGCGCCAAAGCAGCCCCAATAAAAACTTGCTTAGCATCGGGCTTGGAACTACAACTACACAGAAAATAATATTAACTTATTTGATTTATGAGAATTTAAATTTTACAGACAGATTTTTACAAAATTTTAATTATTATTCAAATTCATTTATTACTTACATTGCATTGTAACATCAAAAAATGCATATGCTTAAAAAAGTCATTATTATCATTATTATTAAAAAAAATGTTAAATGGTAATTCATTTGTAAACATATTAACTCATATTTGTATTCTTAATATTTACAATTAGCTGAGCTTTCGAATTTCTTTTAACATTTTGTAAGATAAATTTACCTCATATCATCACACATATTTTTTTCCTGTAAGTAAAGAGCATCTCAACCTAAGACAGGCCGGAGATATTTTGGGCGTTCCCACAATAACAACAAAAAAAGTTAAATACACTTTATGTTGGGGCTTCGCTTTCGAGTTTTGGGGGTCTCCAAGGGGGGAGGCTGAAACGCAGGAAGTGGGTGGGTGGGCGCTGTGCGTTTTGTGGATTTGTGCGCCAAACCACCAAAGCAGAAAAAAGAAAACAAACGACATACAGCTCAAGCGACCAAAAGTGACGTGCCCAGGAAAAAGACGATGGAAACGGCGATGGCTATGGCGACATGCCTGCCAGCAGACCGAAAAAAATTGAGGAAAAAGAGGAGGGGAAAAGTGTTCATCTTGGGTGCTAACACTCGGAAAAAAATTAAAAAAGGTTTTTTCCTTTTTAGGTACACTTATTGTGGTTAAGAAGTATAGTATAACATATACCGCCTGGGTTTAACATAAAAGTAGTGGGCATACAAATAAAATATGGTCCTTATAAAACATAAACTAAATAATAAAAAGACCACCATAAAAAATATTTTGATATCAAATCAATAGTTCAATAACAATATGAGATGTATAACAATTCCAAGCAATAACCAATTAATAAATAAATATATAAGATATTTTTACACAATTTCAAGACCTCTTTAAAGTCGTGAACCACAAATTTTTGTTTTTGAACTTAAATATTTAAAAACAATTTCTTTTGTTTTAGAACTTAAATATTTTTACAATTTTAAGCATATGTGAAAAAACAAGTATTTTTTATGAATTTTTAATGTATTATTTTTAAGTTAAGTTAAATATTTGTATATGTATTTCAAAATTTAGTGAACACTTTATAGATTTATAAATTTATAATCTATTAAACCATAATTTTATTTCTTATTTTTCCATGTTTTGAATAGTGATTTTTGTACCTTGGTTTTTCTGAGTGCAACTGGGTGGCAGACAGGAGCCAGCTCGAAGGATTTGGCAGGCACGTAAGCAGTTTATGCCCCGCCGTCCCCCCAAGTGAGCCAAAAATAAAAGTTCAGCCCACATTTTTGGATGCTGCCTTCGTCCTTTCGTCGTCCTGCCTTCCATGTCCTTGGGGTTGGTAAACACGGCTCCAAATTGCCGTTTAAATTTCTCCCCAATGTCTACGCCCGGGGCCAAAGCGGCCTTGAAACATTATTATGACTGTGACGCCCCGTTTGCCCCACCTGTTAGGCCTGCCCCAAAGATCCGGGCTCCAAGTACCCAGCCTCGGGCGCCCAATCCCCCGGACTACTTTATATTTGAAGTTGTGGCTGCCAGACAAAGCCAGTCGGGGGAACCGTGAAGACAGGCGTTAAATGCTACCTATGCCTCCCACTGGACTCGGGATCTGGGGGTCTGATCCATGTCAAGGGTCGGCCAGGGTTACTCGGCTAACTTATGGCTCTGTCTGCTGCAGCCCCTGTTCTTTGTTTAACTAATTAAACTCTTGTAGCAGCAAGCATGCAAATACCATTTGGCCTTCCTCGCAAAAACACGTGTCGGCTGGGCATTCATGAAAAAATGAAAACAATGGGAAAGAATGTTTTGGGCCCTAAACTAAACGCATGTCAGAATTGCATTGTTTTCTTTGAGCCGGAGACAAGAAAAATGATGTTGCCCAGGGCCAGGATCTGGACAAAATGCTATTTGTTCGATCTCAAAGGCTTTCGAATGGCCTACCACTTAAGGATAACTACTGTAACTGACAGTTTGAGCTGCTTTTGCGGTTTTGTCAGTTACAAAAATGTTTTATTTTAAATAATAAAAATAACGGCCAGTTAGAGTTTTCTGTAATTAACCCAATACCAAAATTACATCCCATTGCAAAAATATAAAATTATAAATTAAGTAGAATTAATATTAAGACTCTTTAATATTAACAATCCAATTTAGTTTTACTCTTCAATAGACAAAATAATAAATCAATCTAATTAAACAAGCTAAATTATAATAGAAATTTGTTTAACGAGCTGCTGTATCTTCTTACTCTTTGAATATTATATTGATTTAAATTTATTAAATAAACAACACTTTTTCCATTATTTTAACAATTATTGTTTTTAAGGGTTAAATTAATTAAACAAATATACATAGTACTATTTTTCTTTTACTCCTAATTTTTATCCAACACATATGTAATTGTTCGAATCAGATAGGCTCGGCGGTAATTCGTCGCTTTATGTTCCGAAGTTTTGTGTTCCCTGGACAAATGTCCCATCATCAGGAACTGTAGCGCATTAAAACTAACTGCTAAATTATTAGCAAGACAACCCATCCATCTCGGGGCAGGTCCTCCTCGGTGGGTCTTTGCACACGAAAACAGAAATGAAGAAAAATTGCGGCTTGTCAGTGGAAGGCAGAACAACAATAAAAAGGACAAAACCGACAACATGAAGACGTCTTCAGCATCTTCCGCAGGAGTAAACGAAACACGCGCCAGGAGCATCCAACATCCCGCATCCAGGACGAAAAAGTAATAAGTGTGTCTATTTGTTTGCGAATATTTCATTTCCCGTGCCGTTTACTTTCTATCCTCTGTCCGCCCACAGCAGCCTTGGTTAAAAGATGGGAGAAAGCATGGGACTGTCACGAAAGTCGCATTTCCCCAAAACTAAATTATATAACCGTATATCAAATTTAGTCCCTGTTTACGGTTTTGGCCAACAAATTCATCTTGAATTTGCAAAATATCACTTAACGATAAAACCTTGAAATAACATCTTAGGAAATCATTAATGATATAAATGAAGAAAGCCTTTTAGAAACTTAAAAATATTTAGCACGCATGACGTTATGCGATGTATATAATGGCATTTAACAAATATTTAGTGAGCATACATATGTACTTTGTGGCAGAAAATCCATTTTTTAATTTATTTAGCACTAGCAGCGCTGGGCTGTTCTTATTTTTTGAAATATTCAAATTAATTTTTATGCTCAGAAAAAATAATGTACTTAAATTCATTCAGTTAACGAAATTAAGGTTATTTCCTAGTGAGGCTAGTCAAATATATTTGTAATTTAAAGGTTTGAACAAAACGTGTGAGATTCTTTTGTTTAATTTGAGTAGCTGCTGCTCGACCATTTGATTTATGTACATTGAACTTGCTGAAAGTTCAACTAATACATAAAATGCAAACGGCGTGCGTGGGCAAAATAAGGAAAAAAGTTAGTGTAATTTATAAAATGCAAGCCACACATGGTGCCTTCGCCTGTGCGAAACGCTGAATGTTATTAAAAACAATATAAACAACTTCCCAGTGGGTTGTTCCGGGTCGGTTGTTTATGGACGCCAGTGTGAGGGGCATGGAAAACAAGCCTTAAACCACAAAGTACCACTTTTCCTTCCTATTGGGCGGTTGTGCGGCAGTTGCGGCAATTTTCAAATTGACTTTTGCACATGTTGCCGCCGTAGCGAAAATGCGGGCAAACAATGTAGTCAAAGTGTGTTCCACTAAAAACAAAAAACACATTGCACAATAGGCTTCAGCTGTCTGGTGATTGCGAATCAGTGGTGCCAAGATTCTATAAGAACAACTTGTGGGATCTATAAAAAAAACCATATTATTAACGGATAAGGAGCATAAATAAAATTATTCGTATTTTCCCTACGTGATTTTAAATAAATTTTGAATCGTAAAACACAATTTTTATGATTGTTTAATTTATGCTTTTTTATATTTCTGTGGTCATCTAATCACAACTATATATTTTTTTTAAATAGATAGATAAATATATATATTTTATATAACTGTTAAATGCTGGATCTTTTTTAGTATTTTAATTTAAAGACCATTTTAAAAATATACATATATATACATTATATACATATTTAAATATGAGTTGCATAAATTTAATTATATATTAATTTACATTCAGTATTATGTTAAATTTTTTAATAACATTTTTTTTTATTGTTTTTTCTTGTTCCATTAGGGAAATTTAAAAGTAGTATGGCTAAGTAAGTCTAAGCCAACAACACTGACATGAGTTTAGCCACGAACTAGTGCAAAAAGAGGGCGAAAAATACAAAAATAAGTGCATAGCAAAAACGTGCCAATTGAGCGCGTGAAAGGAATACCCAAATAGTTTGTCGCTTCTGCGTCAAAAGTCAAATATCTATCAAAACGGCATTAGTGGCGGCAGCTGCTCTTTATTTTAACTTTTATATTTGAATTTAAGCGCGCTGTGGCACCCCCGACCTACAACACTGCCCATAAGGGTGGCACTCTCTAGCACTGCTTCTCGTCAAACAGTGTTGGTAACGATCACGCTCAGTTTTTGCACGCTCACATACACAAACAAGGGTAAAAAACCCGCAGAGAGCGAGAAAGAGAGAAAAAGAGAGTCAATAGAGAGAAAAATAAAAATTTCCAGCGGCGTCGGTGGATTTGGTATTGTTCTGAACGCTGCGCCGCAGTTTCGAGTTTTTGCCTGTTTTATTCCACTCCGATTTGTTAAAAGAAAAGCAAGCGTTACATGTCAGACATGCTGAAAATGGCAAATGTTGCAAATCCGCTGCAAACAATGAAGAAAACAAACGGGGACGAGGATTCCGAGGAGTCTGATATGGAAGATCAGGATGAAGAGGAGGAGGAGGACGATCTCCCTGACGATGTGGTGCTCCAAATCGACAGCGAAGATGAGGCAGAACTGGAAGCGCAGCGCATCCGCTTGGTGGAAGAAGAAGCAGCAAAGACAACAAAAATTGCAGAGAAAGAGCAACAGCAACAAAAAGAACAACAACAAGCGCAGGTCAGTAACGGTAACGAAGAGCAACTGGAGGAAACTGAAAAGCCCAACAACAATAGTAAACGTAAGGGCCGTGGAAGACCCAAACGCAGGGCTTCCACTAGCTCGCAGGCTTCCAGTGCGTCCATTGCGTCCATAGCTTCCCTCGCTTCCAGTGCTTCCCTGGTGGCAGCACAAGTTCTTGCGGATGAAAAGTCACGCCGCTTCATATACAGCTGCTCCAGCTGCACTCACCACTACGCCGATAGCGTGATCCTCTCGAGACACTTCCAGGCGGAGCATGCCGAGAAGCCGAAGAAGAAACGTGGTAAAACCAAAAGGGGTTCCGTGGAAGAACCTCAGCATATAGCGACACCCCTGACCCTTGACCCTTTGGAACTGGGTCACCTCAAGCCCTGTGCCCAGTTGCTCGTCCAAGGGGAATCCCTGCTGCAGCTGTGTCTCGCCTGCAACTCACAGTTTGTGGATGAGGTACGTTTCCAGGAGCATCTCAGCCAGCAACATGGTTATTTTAAGCTACTGGTGCCCAAGGAGGAGCCCACCGATCTCCCGCCTCAGGCCATGGTCACCATTCCGGGTGCTTTGGCCCTGAGCAAGGCCAATTCCCAGCTTCAGCTGCCCATTCCAGCTCCAGAAACTCCGCCACCCGAGCAGGATGCCAAGGAATCGCCAACGAATACCGGGACCAATGACAAGGAGGATCTGGCCTTAATCAACGCCATGGTTGCCGAGATTGCAGCCGACCGGGTGAAGAAAACCAGCAGTCCCAAAGTCAGCAAGATGATTATCAAGCTGCCCATGTCCAACAAAAGAGGTAGGAAAAGGTCCAAACCCGAGAAGATCAGGGATGGCAAGGAGAAGTCTGAGAAGAGCCGCGAGAGGAAGCAGGAAAAGCCTAAGAAGAAAAAACTCGATGTAGAGGTGGAACATCAGCCGGAACCAGAGTCGGTATTCGTTGCGAAAGACCAACAAAAGCCTGCAAAATCGGAGAAAGAAGTACAGCCGTCGGATGAGAAAATTGAAAAAGAGTCCAAGCTTTCAGAGAAAGTGGAAAAAAAAGACCTGCCGCTACCGCTAGGAAATTCTGCGAAGGATCAACAGTCGTCGGAGAAAAATGGTACGGAGCAGCACGTAATACCAAAAGCTACAACAGATATGCAGCCGTTGGCCAATGATTTAAAAGGGGAGTCGACGCTGAATAAGTCTGTAAAGGATAAAAACTCTACGGATAAAGACTTAAAGGAGAAACCGTCACTGGACAAGCCTTCCAAAGACAAACAATCGCTCGCAAAAGCAGTTAAAGCAAAGCAACTCCTGGAGGAAGTTGTTAAGGAGAAGCAGGCGCTTGAAAAAGATTCACAAGGTCTAAACAAAGATGGTATTGAGACACAGAAGCCTAGTAAAGACGATCCACAAAAACTGAAGAATGATAACGATGAGACACAGCTGCTTAAAAAAATTGATAAAGAGACGCAGTTAGAAACACCAGGACAGAATCTTGTCCAGCTAGAAAAAACAGTAAATCCGAGACATGCAGAGAAAGAGCAGCAGCGAAATTCAGACAAAACGCAGAAGGATCAGCAGCATCCGGCAGAGGTAAGTTTGAACTAAAATAGACTTGACGAACCCTTAATAAACATAGATTTTTTTGTAGGAACCCAATAATCCAACAAAGCGCAAGCGCGCCCGTAAAGAGCGCAAGTCGCCTACACCCGTACCCGTCCGGCTTGAAGACAAAGAGATCAAAGAGGAGTCAGAGCCACTAGAGCGGCGCACGCGCAAGTCCCGTCACCAGGTGCACTACGTGGTGGATATCAAAGATGAAGAGGAGGAGAAGGAAGACGACGAGGAAGAGGAGCCTGAGGTGGATGACGACTCCTCGGCCACTATTTCGCCGCACAACAGCTCAACGGACGGCAGTTTTACATCGATCAAACGTGAGTCATCCGAAGAGTCGCTGCGCAATGGAACTGGAGGCATACACACCTGCAATTTCTGTGGCAAAACATTCAAACGTTTCTCGAGAATGCAGGATCACTTGCGGCTTCATACTGGAGAGAAACCATATGTTTGTGGGCAGTGCGGCAGGGCCTTCCGCTTGAAGATGCGTTTGGTGGAGCACCAACTGCGTCACCGCACAGAAAAGGCGTACAAATGCGATATTTGTTCAATGCCATTAGCCACCAAACAGGATTTATCGCTGCACATGCGTCATCATAAGAACGATCGGCGCTACAAGTGCGACAAGTGCAACAAGGGATTTGTTCGCAGCTCAGACTTGTCTATCCACGTGCGGATTCACACAGGAGAAAAGCCGTATAGTTGCGATCTGTGCGGCAAGGCGTTCCGTGCTCGCCAGAATCTGGTGGTACATCGACGCACTCATCTCGGCGATAAGCCCATTCAGTGCGAGCTGTGCGACAAGCGTTTCGCTCGGAAGATCGACATGCGGGTTCACATGCGCAGACACACAGGTGAAAAGCCGTACAACTGTAACGCTTGTCAGCGTGGCTACTCTTCCCGTGTGAATCTGTTGCGCCACCAGGAACGTGAGCACGGTGAGGAGGAGAAGACCTCTGGTTCTGTCAAAGCAGAAAAGAAAAAACCAGAGCCGGCGAAGGAGACGGAGGCGGAAAATCAACCCAAAGCCAATCCAGCGCCTCGACGTCCGCGACGCGAGAAGCTGCAGCAGAAGATAGCGGCCCAGGAGAAACTACTGGATGACCTGAAACGCAGTTTGAGTGCCTTGCCAGAAATCTCCGAGGAGTCATCACAGGCCAAACTTGAATTGCCAGCAGATGGGGGAGCAGGGCATGCCCAAGTACAGGTCACAGTGTCCATGCAAATGGAACCAGCACCAAATCTCGAAGACGATGAGGAGATCACACCAGAAAAGGAGAACGCTTTGTCAAGCTCAACGACCGCCGATAGCAAGACAAAGGCGAATCGGAAGATCACCAGCTACTTCACTGTTGTAGGTCAGCAGGCGGAAATCTAAAGACTTAAGTTCAGGGTCAGCAACACTTCTTACTCATTACCTTTTAAGATGCCACTGTACTTGGAAATGATGGAGACATTTCCCTAGCGTAGCATACACCTCGCAATTTTACTTTTTGGATTTTCAATGCAATCTTGCAGCAGGGATCAAGTATTTTCTTTATATACTATTTATATATTTACGAATTAATTTTGAGGTTCTACAGAGACGGATACCCAGGAAATATTTAATGTTGTGAAGGACATATAACCGAAAAGAACAAAAAAAGACTACTTTTTAAAAGAAATAATGATATTTGATATACAAAAACCAAGCACGAGACTGCAAAGAGTTTACCATTAATATATATATATTTTTCTATAGACAGAGCAACTTTTGTGAACAAAATAAGTTAAACTATGTAAAATACCAATAAACTAGCATGTAAGTTAATAAGGGAAATGTTTGCAACCTCCAAGCATCTTCAATATCTCGAAATGTAATTCCTGAAACTTAAATTTCATTTATACCGAGTTGAAGTCCCTATCAACGATTTTTTATGAATAATTTGTAAGCAAACGCTCGGCCAAATTCAATCTTATCGAGCTTCAATATCAGCAAAATATGATATTTATAAACAAATGCGCACAACGATTCAAATTTTATTTGCAAACATTTTCTTTCATTCCCCTTCGCATTTATAAACCGAACAAGTGAAGAATATTTTACAATTTCATTTAATTTCACAGCACACATAAAATCAATTGCAAGTCATTTAGTATGCAATTTGTACGAAATCTCCAACATATACTCAAAATTCCAAAATAATTGTAATTTAATGAATATTTTAGATTTATAATGCATTAGCAAATGAATTGCTCTTGGGAAAAATATATTCTCCCTTGAAATAATTTTGCACTATCTCAGCAATCTGCTAGCTATATTTATTTTACATACTTTACTTTAACATTAATTTACTTAATTTCTCGAATCGTAAGCGTAGTGAAAAGACAATGCAAAAAGTCAGCAACGTTTTTTTTCTACATGTTCTGAACGCATTTTTTGTAAATTGAACTTGTGGCAGCTTCTCTCATTCTGTATTATCTTAGAGAGTCCAATGAATATACGTTACTTTATAATTTCACATTTGTCGATGTTAATTTGATGCCACTTGCAAATTGTTGCTCCCGGTACTTCAACCCCCGAAATTGCAATTACTAGAATGGGGGTGTGCGAGTTTTATGTTTTATGTTTATGGCACAGGACAACAAAAGGCAGCTGCTGCTGCAGCCCTTGTCAACTTTCCAGCACTAACTATTGCTCGAGAGGATTGGGATTGGGGTGGACGAAGGACTATAGAGAGACCGAGCCACCGAAGAGTAAATGTCGAGCAGCAGTTTGTCATTTGTAATGGGGTTGTGCACGGTTCATTTCGTAGTGCCAAGGGGTTGATATGTGAGAGAGATAAATAAAGCGGGACAAATGGGGAATTGAGAGAGCAATATGAAGTGATTTATGCCTAGATCCAGGTGGAAGAGCAATACCTGCGATCATTGAACTCTACAGGATAATTGTATATTTGTAGGCATATCTGATTTTCTGTACACTTTTTTTGTTACAATGCTTTTCATTTTATAAATGTTTAAACTAATAATTAAATAAGGGATTATCTTATAAATATATTTCTTGAATGAAAATAATCACATTTCCATTTAAAATTGAAAAAGATAGTGCTTACATTTGATGATAGGGTTTTTTGGGAAAATGAATACTATTAAATGAAAAGAGAGGCAAAAAATATAAATGGAAATGTGAAACTGATAAGTTTTTTGTTCCCTTTGAGAGTGACATTTTCATTCCACCCGGCATTCTTGTCTAAACAAAAACCAATTTCTTTGGTGCCGCACTCGCTTCGCATGTTTTGGCCATATGCTTATCATCTGGTCGCTGCAATGACAATTTATTTTGTTCTGGTTTTCAAACAAAAGCGCAGTCAAAGAAAAAATGCTAAAATCAGCGAATATAACAGAGGCCAAATATGAGAAGTAAAAAGAATTTTGCTTGCTGCATGTGCTTTCAATGCAATATTACGCATACGAAGCGTTGTACCGCGTGCTTTGTTTGTCAGATTGTGCCAAAATAAAAAAAAATTGAAGAAAAACAAAAAGATAGTCAACGTGACACACTACACACACATGTGTACGTTGGTGTGTGCGAAAATATGCAAATTAAGTGTGGCGACTTTTGTTCTCGCCAATTTTTGGTGTAGAAAGCGTAAAAAGAGAGCAGAAACTGAACGTATACACATTATTTGGGCTGGCGATTGTGGAAAGCAAAGCGCCGAAAAAAACGAGTATACGCCCAGTTGTACAGTCAGTCGACTAGATGGTGTTTGTGTTTGTCTGTCTGCTTGTGTTTGGGTGCCGATCAAGCCTGCTCTCCCCTCTTTTCCACCACACTCTTATTTTGCTTTGTTGTTCCCCCGTTTCGTCAGCATTTTTACACTTTTATGTTGCTGGCTTTTAATTGAATTTCGCTTCAGTCTCAGACTTTGACTTCTTCTCTTGTTTCTGCTGTTTCTTTTCGCTGTGGTTAATTTTAAAACTACCCATAAAAGCCACACGCTGCGCCAGCGTTGACGTCGGCAGCGGCAGCGGCTTTGGCCACTAATACAATTACATCCTGCCATCGAGTTTGTTCTGGATATGCATGGAAAAAACATGGGCAACGTTAAGTTTTAAGCAATTCGAAATGTTGGTAAAAAAGTTCTAAAAAATTTAAAGAGTTTTCATAACATTGTTTTAGGTTTATCAATTAAATACTTTTGTTTGGTAATACAAAATAACATTCGTATATCAAAAAGTTATTTATTTGTATTTTCTTGAAAACATAGTGCCGAATAGTTTAAAGCGATATTTTAATTTGTGTTTCTAAAAACTAAAGGGACCTTTTTTTCTGTGTATACTCTCTTTTTACTGTCTCTTTATCTCTACGTCTGGCTTGTGTTTGTGTTTTTGTTTGTTAAGCCTCTCTGCTGCCGCTGCGTTTCTTCGGCTCTTCTGCATTCTTTTTGCGGTCGTTAACTTGCAACTGAACGTTTTGTTGCTGTTGATATTAGCTGCTCCGTTCTCTGGTTGTTGTTGTCATTCGCTCAATGTTCTATGTTTTGTGCTCTTGCTTGTGGTGCTTTGTTGTTGGGTTGATTTGTTTGCGCAGCTCTCATTGCTGTGTGTGTGAGCCGCTTTGACATCAACGCATGCGATTGTGTGAGTAGGGGCGAAAGAGAGAGCTGAAAGTTTTCCAACACTCAATCGAACGCGCGCCATTCAAAAATTTTAAATCGCCAACGGTGCGTATGCATGATAAATAAGTAAAGTTCATTGTAGTGAAAAAGGATATATTAAAGTTTTTCTATATTCAATGAAAAAACGTTTCAAACTTATGTCTAATAAAAATGATTTTCAAATTTATAATTATTTTTTAAAGATATGTATTTATCAAAATAAATTCAAAAATTTACAACCTGAAATATTAAAATCACGTAACATAGTACAATTCCTTAACAAAAAATTTACAAAACGTAAAGTGGTAATTAGAAAGTTAAAAATATTCAATTATTCATTCAATTTTTACTCATTTATTCAAAAACGTGATCGAATAATTAATATCCCTACTTGAATTTCCGCACGAATAAATAAATGAATTAATGTGATTAAAACGCAGAGAACCGCAAAATCAAATCAACAATAAATTAACTCTTCTATGCGTAATATTGAGGGGTTGAATATATTTCGAAACCAGCAATGCGTCTTTCTTGGATTGGCTCAATTGGTTCACCACGACTTTTGCCAGCTCTAGCGGTCATTTTTATTCATAAGTCCTGCTGACAAGCCTCATCCACATGAAATGCATTAAAAATTATTTATCCATAAATCATGCAATCGTTAATAAATAAAAAATGCATTCGAGTTCATTTCCCGTCGACAGTGAAATGGCACATAAACAAACAAACAAAGTAGAAAACGTTAAAAAATGGAAATAAAGGAGAAAAACATTGCCAAATGCATAAATAAATCAGAGCAGCGGGGAAACAACAATGTGGCCTGTCGTTCTGTCGAATAAACAAATATTCATAATTGTAAAAAAAGCTCAAAGTCAGCTCCCGCAGGGCTTCAATGGAGTTCGAGTGAGATCTGTACACAGGGCGAGAGAGATGGGTAGAGACTGCAACTAACCGCTGAATGTGCATAATTTATAAAGCTAATTAAACGCGCATTTAACTAATTAAAAATATAGCGCGCTTCAATTATTGAAATATGCTGCCCAATTATGATGCAGTCCAAATGTGAGACAGAGACGGCTGGTCAGAGGAGATTTGCAATTAAAATGTATGGTTGTGCGCAACCTATTCGATTCCCTGGCCGAATATGCAGAATCGAATGCTCAGCGTGGCGTATACGTAACGCTAATCAAAGTGTATATTACGTATACGACAGCATGACATGTGTGAGGGTTCAAGCTGGTTTCGGTGTTTGTTGTTATTGGCTTCGCTGGTGTTACTGCTGCTGTTGCCTTTTTGGCTTTTAGCAACCAAATACTAATTGACATTTCGCTATGCCGCCTACATAGAGAGATGGGGAATAATAGGGCCGAACACATGTCTATAGCTTTACAGTTAGCCCACTACTGCTTGCCAATGCAAAAACAGTTTCAATTAAGCAATTAGCGCCATTGAAACAAATCCAACACGTTTTGTGGCTTATAAACTGAAGCATCATGTCGATTGGTTCGGGCCTGCGGTCGATCGAATGGAATCGGGAATAGGCCATCGGATTGGGGATTTGGTTTTCTGCGGCCATTAATTTAAGGCAATTAAAGGGTAATTGGGGTATGCGTGTTTACTCAGGAAGTGATTGATTGAACCAAAAATCTGCTTGCGAGCGAGAAAAATCAAATACAACTTTATCCTTATATGTATAAAACTAATGTAGTCTTTTTTTAATATTTTATTTAAAAAAAAAGTATTTTTCAGTTTGGTCAATGCCAATATACAAAAAATGAAACTACAAAAATAATCTTGTTATCGCAAAACCCTAACATTTAGTTATTTAGTTAATATAAAATATGATTCTTGACTTTATTTTTATTAATTTTTTATTTATTTGGCACATCAAAAGCGATCTAATCTTAATCTCTTTTCGTACTCTTATTCTACAGTATTTTCCAGTCTACTCAAGTGCAGCAGATACTGATTAGTGTTTGCCTTATTACTTCCATTACTAATACAAATGCCATTTTAGTTACTGCTGCTAATTTGCGCAACATTTTTGGCCCGCTCAGTTAGCATATTTATGCGAATTTCGCGCTTCGATTCAATTTTAGCCACAAATCGAAAACAACAAATAGCATTTGCATATATACATGTTTAAAGTCTTGATCCTAAACGTGCATATACATATATACATCCGTAAGCAGCTTACGGCTTTGTTGTCTGCCGTGAATACAGTTCTGTATTGACGTCAGTGTTTTGCCCTCCTGCATAATATAAAGCAGCTTAGTGCGAATCCATCGCGGGTTTTTCGGGGGAATGGCGGAGAAAGCCGTGTTCGATTCCATACGATTCGAAGACTCCTGTGGACATTGGCCCTGATGGCGATGATGCATCGCCATTGCCATTGAAATTCGCACTTTAATAAACCCGATAAAGCGCGGCGAATGTTAATTACATTTGCAAATGCAATCAATTTCGAACAGCCTAATTTAATTAACGAATCGCTAAGTTTTATTTGCGGCGTTGCCAAGTTGATTAAAATAGTAGCAGGAGTTTTCATTCAGTTAATCAATCTTTGTTACAGTTCGCAGGGGCTTCTGATGTTAAAGTTTATCTGAAAAGTTTGCACTCTATTTATACACCCCCTTTTTATGACCTGATTTGAGAAAGTTTATTTTTAGGGGCTTAACGCATAATTTGGATTGAACTCTGTAAATACCTTATCTTTATTGGTACTTCGGCAATTCAGCTAATTGGTAACACCCACAATAAGCTTATAGCTAGTGGTACTACAAAGTTATCTTTATGGCATGTTGATTGACCAGTAAAATAAATACAGGTGTATTTAGACTTTAATAAATTCCCCGTTTTTTGAACATTAAGGTTCTGCGAACCCGCTTAATGCTTTCATATCTTAACCTGCCCATCAACATAAATCCTCTGGGACAACAGAATTTAATTTGTGGCCTAAAGGTCTTGGTCCCAAACAAATATTAAACATATATTTACTATTTAAAGCCTTTAACCAAGCAAACCAGCCAAGGGTGTCAGCTTAAAACAATAAGTGGTGCAGGCCAGAAACAGCAAATTGGAAGCCAAATCAGTTAAAATAATAACAATGCGATGCCCGCAACAATGACGGCGGTGGCAACACCAAAAACACAAAGATAAACAACTCATTAAAAGGAAATTAAACAGCCGTGAACCAAAACGAACGTCATGTCACGACCCGTCACTCATACGCACTGTTGTCTGGGCCTACGTGAGTGACGTTTCGCGGTTTGATAAAGACTCTCCTTAATTCTCCAGAAAAAAATGTGACCAAAGAAAATTGAGCAAGCGCATTGACATTTAAACCACTCGGGGGAAATGCAAATGTTAAACATCTTTAAGTTCTATAAATAAATATGTATATATTGTTAGAGCAACTCGCCTTAAAACGTGTCTAGGCATTAGATATCTATAAAAAACGAATGGTTTAGTTAAAAAGTATTACAAAAAGTTATTGTCAATAGTGCAGGGGTGTGGTTAAGCAAAAGTATTTAGCATCTTTCTGTTGACTTTGCTTGGTTGCCAAGTAGAAACTTTTGGTGGTTTTTACAGTTATTTTGTTTGGTAAAAACAGCAAGCAAGCAGATTATAAGTAAAAAGTGTTGAAAATTGGAAAACTCAGACATTGAGAGAATTATCATCATTATTTCCCCGACGGTTAACAATTTTAACAAATAAAATAAATATTTGTTTTAAATTTAATCTTTGTTCATTAAAATAGCATGTGAATAATCCTATCACAACCTCTTTTTTTAATTTTTTACTTTTGGGAATTCCAACATAAAAATGGCTTTAAAGATTATGAGCACATATAATCAAGCCATTAAAAATAAATTAATAAATAAAGCTGGGTGTTAGGAAATATCTAATTTACATGAGCTTTTATTTAAATGTCTTGTGTTTATAGTTTCTGTTATAATTTGTTTGTATTTGCTTTAATTTTTTTCAACTCTGTTTTATTGATAGCAAATACAAATCCACCCCAGGCAAAATAAATCGTATTGCACTAGGTTTTATCAGTGAAAAAGTCACATACACATTTATTATCTTTAGGCCGAATGTTTGCTTGAACCCATTAGTGCTCGAGGTCTTTGACTTCCTGCACTTGACTTACATTCGCCCCTTATCGGGACAATTGACTAGTCTTAATTGAAGTCAAGCGAAGGAAAGAAATTAGCCAGCAACCATTTTGACCAAAAGCAAACAATTGACAGCCAGTCACTTGGCCAATGCAGCACAAGAGAACTTTAATTAATTAACACAAATTTGCAATGTAATAGAAACGCTGGCAGCACGAGTATTGAGGGCTTGGGATGTTGGCAAATGTAAACAACAGCCGGGGCTCGAGAATCTCTCTGAAAATGGGCCACTTGACTGCAACTTTAATTAACTGGAAACGTTATGTTTGTTTTTGAAGGCGGCCAACGGCAAAGACAATGGCACAAGGCGCCCGAGAAGGGGTTCTCGAAAGATAAGGGCCAAAACGCATTGTCTGGGAGCTGTTCTCCACCCACTGTTTAATCAATGTAGTTGGAAATTTATTGGGCTAATTGCTTTATAATTTATAGGAGAGTCAAGACCGGGCAATATGATTAGGATGCCTTTGGTTCTTGCCCCATACACCAAGAAAACCGATATTATCACTGCCAACAATGTTTTTTAAACATACTTAAATTATTTATAATAAGTTTTAATAAGAAACATAAATCAATTTTTGTATTTGTTTGGGACACAAAAATAATATCACACAACTAAACTCCTTTTTTAAAATGATAGGATAAATAGTTTCATTCCAATTATTTGCTCTCAAAACTACAATTTTTAATTTTTGTACAAAATAACTAAATTAATATGTATGCAAAGGTGTTATGGTTGTTAACATTTTTTTGAATTAGGATTCAATTGCTTACTAATATTTGTTATTTATTTTTTTTTTTCAGTGCGTCAGCTTCTGCTTTGCGGCCTCTAATTATTATTTTGGCAAATTGTTGGCGCAAATAGACAGCTCATAGAACACACTCGTGTATTGTTTATTAACCAGAAGAGCTGCGAAAGGTCTTGTGCTTTTGGCCACTGTTTCACAGGAGTCACAAGATACGACTGTGGTATGTGCTAAATAAATACTAACTGAAATTTCAATTCCCCTTTTGGAGGTGAATCATTCTCCGCTGGGCCCGACTTTATTGTTTTGTTTTTGTTTTATGCTTTTTCCATTTGTTTTAGAAAAGTTCTTGCCAGCCGCAGACTTTGCTTTTGGTACTTTTGTTTATTTGTTTTTATCGGTTTCTGTTTTTGTTTTTTATTTGCTTGGCTCTCGCGGCTCTTCGCGCCAAAGTCCAAACCTAAACGGGTTTCCACTGACGTTTAATTCAGCTTCAATGATTCTGCAATTTGATTTATGGATTACCGTAAATTTGAATTTTCAATAGCGCAATCGTGTTATTTGAGTAATTGTTTATGTTTGATTTGTCAGGTATGTAAATATGAGCGCACAGATTAAATGTAAGCCTAGTAAAGCGAAATATTATTTGCTGATTGTTGATCTATTGACGTTGGTGAAATTCAAACGACTTGGTAAAAAAGCATTAAGGAATTTTTCTTTAGAGCATTAGACAAATGTGAGATTGGAAAATATTCAATACACTAAAAATAAATAGTTTTAGGAATTTCTTATAATTTATAAATAAGAAGTTCCGATGATATACCTGACCAAATTAATTATTTTAGATCGATTTGTTTTTAGTGCTTTTGCAAAAAAAATTAAATTAAATTAATAATAAAAAAAAACGGTTCTAGTAAAAAGAAATCCAATCCAAATCTACACCCGAAACAACCGAGAGTTATGCCCCCACTGCGAGGTGCATTAAAATGCCCATTAATGCTCACATTGCGTATACGCCCCTTTGGCCAGACTTACATGAATTCTTCCACTGCTGGAACTTGTGGTACACGAAGCACGCGCAAATGAAGAAAATCACAAAGACGATGAGCAGTGTGAGGATGACTCCAATCCAGATATCGCTGACCACATGGGCAAAGTCCTGGCCATCGTCGCCCGTATATATCCTTGATCCGTGGGCTATATGTGGCGGAGGAGCCCGAGCAGCCGGCAGCACATCAAAGAGGTCGTCGGCCACATCGGCGACATCATTCGCGGTCGCGGCGCCACTCAAGTTGATCTCGACCTCCTGGCGATCGATGGTGAAATTGCCCAGGGCCGAATCCAGACCCAAGGCCAGCTGCTCGAGTTTGTTAATCAGTATGGAGTAGTTCCCCGGCAGATCGAAACCGCCAAGATCGAGTTTTTCGCCACTATTGGCCGCTGTGGCATCCAAGGTCGTTGCCGTGCCATTGAGGCCTTCACTCAATGTGGTCGCTGTGGCAGTTGCAGTTGCAATCGTTAGATTGCCGGTGTCTTCGAGGCCTGCCAGCAGGTTGCCCGTGATATTCAGCGCTTTCAATAAATCAGACATCGTTTAGAACTCAATGTTTTGTTGGGTTTTTGTATCACTTGGGTTTTATTTGGTTTTTGGTACACGTGTTTTTATTTTCTTCGATTCAGCCGCGATGCTAGAGCTTCATTGCGCGACTGAAAACGCCCGTCGAGTGTAAAGCTGCAAATTTGCTGGCCCGCTTTTTGTCGGCACTCCCGAATGGCATATAGATTTTATTTTATTTAATCTCCTGCCTCTACTTTATGCCGTTTTTCACTTTTCAACTAATTGTGTTAACGCATCGGTGTTAATTCGCCTCACGCATCTCGTACAGTTTTTGTTGAAAATCGTAACTCGCAGATACAGGCCGCTCTCATTGCTGATTTGCTGTTCAAATATTGATCGTTGGCATTAAGGCTCTCCTTTTTTTCATATATATTTTTACTGTTTGCTGATTTGCTGCCGGGGAATTTATCTTAGCAATAAACATATGCACATAGTATATCTCCTTCGGCTGTCTATCTGTATGAGTTCGTTTTATTGATTTGCCAAGTGGAAATGAGGGAACAAATTTGCTATGCCTCTGGAGCTCTGCTCTGTTTCGTTTAATCTCCAGCCACTTTCGAGGCTGTAAAATCTCCTCATATTTGCCGGGCTAATTCGCGATTACACGTGAAGTGCATATAGCAGAAGGCAGTACTCGTGTGCCCTGCCGACCCTCATTTTACATTGAGTGAATTACTTAATACGGGTGAAAAATTTCTATGTATTATTTTCTTATTAACAAATATCTAGACTTGTTTAATTTCGTAGTGAAAGACTTTCTCCTAAAATCTAGAGAAATGTATTCAAATTCTGTTATCTGCCAAGTAATTTGTAAGAACATTATATGATTCTAGTCTTTTTTGGAGTTAGAAAGAAATTAGCAATCCCGTCTCACATAATAATGAGCTAGTATCAATTACTTTCAATCGACTCACAACTAGATAGGCGTAACTTTACCCTTCAATCAGATACTTTTCCGAGTCTTAAAGCACACACCCATCTCATTTAATGGCAGACGACTGTTCTATATTTAGAACAGCTTCAATAACAGTCAATTAGGCCGCTTGTTGTCAGCATCTATAAACATTAATTAAAACTGGAGGAGCCCTATTGAATTTCTGTACAGATATCTGGTCACCTATAAGTATATGCATTTTAAATAGACCAGACGGAAAGTGTATGCAATTAATGAATAAATCAAGCGGAAAATTTTAAGCTTTCAACGCCTTTGCATACAAAATAAATATTATCTGATTTTGCATTCTAGATCAGGTCAGTAAGGGATAATGTTACGTGTTTCACAAAACAATTTAATGTCATACAAATTCATTGAAAAACTGGTGAAAATAGAAACCATGGTGCTGATTTTTAAATGATAACAATTTTTCAACGGCCGTTCAAATTCTTTTTTTTTATTTTTAAATACATATAGATAAATATACATTTATTTAATAACTTTAAACATTGAATACTTTTGTTTTTATGTTTCCCCGCGTCTCAGCAAATGCAGAAATGTTTGCAAATATAATCACACTTTAAGTAAAGAAGCAGCAAATCAGCAAACATGCAATATTGAAAAGTAGGAAGTACCTCCCTTAGCTTACTTTTTATAGACAACGCCCACAAATCTTTCCTATTTGCATTCAATTTTCACTTTTTAAAATTTTATATTTTTTCTTTTTTTTGTTGCTTTTTTATTGGCGGAATTTAAATAATTGGCGGCACTTGTTGGAGATTTTTTAATTTAATTTCACCGCCCTTATCAACAATAACAAACGATTGAACAACTCGCGGAGAACTTCTGTTCGTTTGATTTTGTGTTGCCGAATGAACCGAACTCGCGCGCTTGTTTACAACAATTAAAACTGCTTTCTTGCGTCTTGCAATTATAGCCACGTTAACAGCGAGAAGTTAACTGCCGCCAGCGGTGACAGCGGAACGTCGACTGCGACCGCGAATACGGTGCTCCATCGCAAACAAACCGAATGAATGAATTACCAACTGACTAACTGACTGACTGACGGAACCTAGGCTGATGCTGAGATTGAGATACAGATACGGATTGAGATTGAGCTATGTCCGACCAAAACTGCTTCTGTCGCGAAGACGCCGCAAAAAATTAAATCAACTCAGACAACGCGATCGGAAGTCCCCAGACACTAAATAGACACTTGGAGAAAAATATGAGAGTAAAACATTATTTTTTTTAATATTCCCAAGCTTAATGAACAAATCTTATCTTATCTCTTATCTATGACATACAAAAGTTTGCAGTTTTAAAAATATGTTTGACACTTTCCTGCATAAAAACAGTACTTGCTTATAATAATTTTGCTTTTTTGGTCATTTTACTAAAAATGCATACATTTAAATCAGCTATATTCTGTAGAATATTTATTTAGACTATAAATATAAGTATAAGTATCTTGTATATATATACACAACTTTATGGAAATTTATAGCTTAACGTTTTTTTCTATGTGCAGGCAAAAGAAATCAAAATTGACTTTTGACTTTGCTTGATTGTATATTTTTTCTCTTATTTATTTGTTTTTTTCCCAAGTGTTTTGACTTAGCTCATAAATGCCGCTGCTGTTTATTTTAAAATATTATTTAAAACTCCACTAAAGTATTTTACATTCTATAACCTTAAGTAATTTTGTTACATGAACATTTTGGCGTTGTTAAACTTTATTATACAATTTTAATTCGAAATATAAATTACTTTTAATTTAGCATATAATCCCATAATAGTTACGACTCAAGTTTCATAAGCAATTGTAGTTTTTCTTCCTACCTGTTTTTTTTTGCAACCGACCATATCTGAGAATTAATTATTTATTTATTTTTTAATATATTCTATCTATACATAAAATAATTACAAATTTCCATTCTAGAGAAAGCATTCGTACTTTTTTGTATCATATTAATTTGTGATTAGTTGCGATTACACTTTATGCTTTATTGTTAGTAAATTGTGTCCCATTCACACAATTTATATATTTATTGTCTATCTTAAGCACTTTTTGATTGATATTTATTGTATATGTACCTATACTCTCAGTAAAACGTATAAAGTGTAGAACAGCTTTAATGCATTTGCCTTTGATTTATTTCTCGTTGCATTTCTGCTGGAAACTATCAGAACCTCTTCTTCTAATCCGCCCATGCATATTTCATGTTTATTGCATATCATTTACATTTAATTTTATGCATTGGCATTATGCTGCCGAATCGTGAGCATTTCATGGACAATTTCGCAGGGAGTATTTCATTAGTTTTGGGCAACATTCGTTATTCAGCTGCAGCAGTGCATGTTTTATTATCTTTTTGGTGTTTATTAAAATTTGCATTTAATTATTTCGTTTCATTTCATTATTTGCAATTTGTGGCTGCTGCACTTTGCTGCCAATGTTATTATGTGGCGACTAAGTCTGAAATGTTGTACTACAATTCCAATTAAGTTGTGCTTTAATGCGATTGCCAACCGCCCATGTGGGCGTGGCCCAAAGTTGTTTTGTCCGTGTGCTTAGTGGAAGTAATTTTTCCGGTGCTTGCGGTTAACTATTTGTAAATCACAAATTGATTCCATCGAACGCCTGATTATGAATTTTCCATTTGCTAATATTGACTTTTCTGTGTGTGGTGTTGTATTTATGAGCATCAATTGCAATTAGCATTCTGCACAGGCTTAGTGACGCATGATTAGAGCTTTATCAATTTCGAATTATTTTATTGACAGTACCACTTAAAGCTGGAACACAGTTTGTACTTAAAGAAGGTGCTCTTAATCAGTTTTCAACAGTCGGCCGTTGACTGTTTTAAATTGATAGATAGATAGATTGCTGAAAAACATTTTTATGGGGCTCGTAAATGTATTTGTAGCAGATTGCACTGCCAAATCAATCAACAATTGAGTACTTTAAAATGGCCCATATTTACGCTTTAATTGCTAAAAGCTAAATTGAATGGAAATAATTGGGTTAAAAGGCTTGAATGAGGAAGTGGGACAATGCCTGATTGAGTCATTGTTTTAAAATCATATAAATGATATTTATTTCTAAAGCCGCACACACAATTACGGTGTCTGTATTTATTATTATTTCCAGGTTTCTTTTGTGGGCATTCCTCCTTAGGCATATCGCTCTAACATTTATCTCAGGTATTCATATGTGTACTCATGATTTATTTGGAGTACCCGGTTGCATTGTTTATCACGGTGGTTGCTTATCTCGAGTGGCTCACTAATCATCTTGACAGCTTATACATACGTCAGATTATTATTTACGTTCTATATTAAACATGTGCTAAATACTTATTGTTTTAAGAGAAATAAATAAATATAAAACTGATGCTTGGCTGTAAAAATCAGTTCGATTTGGTTCGAGCTGGAAATTTTCATGGTATTTACATTAGCTTGGCAATAATGACTCGGAAGCTATTGACAGATCGTTTTGCTTACGTGGAGATTAAAATTATTATTTATAGAAGTCAAAAAAATCAATAACGTAAATTAAAATTGAATTTATTTTAAAAAATTTGTTCGGGAAATATTAAAAGAGATTCGAATCGGTTTTTCCAAACTTATAGATTTCCAACGAAATATTTAAAACATAATTTATTCTTAATAAATTGATTTTTGGATTTTAATAATATGTATATATATAAAAATGAAAATAATATAAATTTATTATAACAGTTTCTTAGATTTTAAAAAAATATCGTTGACGTTAAAGCAAACATAGCTTATTTTTAAAGTTACCAAAATAGGAACCTAATTCACCACTGTATTATCAATATTTAGCATGGTTCTCAACCTTCTATCAAGGGTTTCTGTACTCGCTAACTTCCGATCTAATTAGACCATGAGGTCAGAAAACCAATTGATTCCCAAATTGCACCAGTCCTAATCAGAAAACCGAAAAAAATAACAAAAACAATCATAAAAACCAGGCGCTAACGTGTAATTAATATTTATTTCATTAAACTGTTTACGCTCATATTTTTGCGTGCCAGACGCCGGCAGGCAGAAGTGAACAGGTGTGAACCGGTTGCGCATGCGCAAGGCAGAATGATCAAGTGACACAGCTCACGTGATGACGCCGAGTTTACACACAACTTATTCAACCCGTTTTGGGTATTTTTGCACTATAATTAACCCAAAATATGTGACAACACTTGTTGCTAACAGCTTGGCTAAAGCGACAAAGGAGGTCAACAGATATACTGGGCCGCCACTGAGTCTGGTGATAAGATCAAGATATGAAATGATGAAGCTCGTAAATCCATCACCTTTGGAATTTGATGTCGTCTGGATAGATTACAGCTTAAAGGTTCACCGTCATGCTGATTAAGGCATCAATTAAGTAACTCTACGGTGGTTCATTGCGCCTGTTATTAACCCCTCGGGTATTTCCTATGTCAGCCCGATACGAACATTCCAGCCAGTTGAATATACTGGGTAAATAGTCAGCGTTATTTGCGCCTTACTCGCTTCACTTCGCCGCGGGGAAAGGTGAGCAAACAAAGGAAGTACGGGGTATGGTAACCGCCTGTAATGCACTTAATTATAGAGTTCTGAGTAAGCGGGGTCTTTGAACGAGGTCTGACCGCATGGGAAGATAATGCCACTGAATTATGAAATAGTTAGATCATATTTTTAGCCTTAGATAATGGCATGTAGACTACGTAGTTCGTTGCTGATGTATTTCAAAATACATTTTTAAATGGTATTGTATTTAAAAATGTATTATTGAGAATAAGCAATTATATAAGTATAAGCATATACTTGTGATGAATAACCTTATATTAATCAAAACTTATTATAAACTTATTTATTTACTAGTCACAAAAATAAAGCGAAAAGAAATTGCTTTTTATTAAAAGATAAGATAAAATATTTCAACATACAGCTAATATAAATTAATGTCCGTGGCATTACTTAATTAAAGCGATAAAGGTCAAAACTCAAAATATTGATTTGATTTGCAATATAAGTAACTATAAAAACATATGAATTAAATAAAGAATTTACAAAATGGTTGACGATCCCAATACTATTACATAATTTAATTTTCAAATTATATCTTTACCTAATGGCCCAGTAAGTAATATTATATAATCAATAGACAATCTACTATAAGGCCAGAAAAATCAAATTAAATATTTAATAATAGTTGGGAAACCCCTTCAACCTTTCTATCTTGCATATTCTTTTAATCTCCCAGCGCCGTAGAAAAGGATTTTTGATTTGAAAATCAATCCAGATTCCCCTAACGCACTCGACTCCATTCAACACCGAAGACCTTGTCTCCGTCAGATCGCTCATTGGCAACCCTATCGCAACAATCTTTTATCCAAACACACAACAAGCCTTGCATCCTGCGACCCTTCGCACAAATGCCGTCAGTTGTTCGACACTCCTCCGGCGGAGATGTTTCCCGCGTTTCCCTGATTCCCTGATACCCGCTTCCCCTGTCCCCGGTCCCCCGGTTCTCCGGTTCCTTTAAGCCAATTTGTAAACCATCAAATCGCGTTAAATGCGCTTTTCCGGTCGCGGCCTCTTTTCCTCTTTTATCTCTGAGTGACTGCCGCAGAGGAGAAAATCTCATTGTTATTGTTTTGCTTGCTAAACGGAAATGGTTAGGCTGACAGCGGCTGTATCCTTTTCGGCTTTGCACCTCCGACAGGTACAAGGACGACATATGCCTTGATAAGGATGCAATCGTTTGCGCTACTCCCAACTTATTGATTTGTTTACCTTTGGGCTATCGCCTTTGTGCCATCCGTCGGCGGTGAGTACGGAAATTGGAAAGCGGTTGGGGAACGGAATTCTCATAGAGTTATGTAAGCGTTTTCTGTAACCATTTTTCGCCCTCTAAAGCGGATTGTCACCAGGCAAGTTCTATACTATGCTCTTCATGCCTCTTTACGCCCAACCTCTGTTTTTGAACTTCCGT